TATAGGTGTATGCACGCCCGCCCGCCGCTCCGTGCAGAGGAAATGTGGGTCGGGTCGCGAGTGTACGCGGCGAATTTTCTTTATTTCGCGCGCACAGCTGCAGCAGCTGCTGCTGCTGCTGCAACTCTTTGATCTATACCAGCATCAACGACAACGTATATATCTGTATAGAGCTCGAGCTCGCTCGCCTTCAAACTATCAGCTTTTATGTAAAAACTTGAAGCCCCGTCCAACAGTGGCAGCGGGTTGCGGCGCACGACAGCGCGACTCGCAAGCTCGTGCGTCGAAAGCTCGTCGACAATTTTTCCTCTACCCACCACGCGGGTCCAGTTGTGAAAGTCGCGCTCGTACAATTTTCTTAGCCCCAGCCACGTATTATATATTGAAAGCGGAAATTTTTTCGCTTCCGCGCAGTTGGTCTCGGTGCAGCGCTTTGCCATTGGTGCCGGGGGGGACGAGCGCGTAATTTTTCAATTGCCATGTCTCTCTCTCGTTCCGCAAAAGGATACAATTTGCAGGTATACAATGCTCTATATATACAAAAATGGAATGAAGAAAGTAGAAAACAGCTCGCGCCGTGATTAATCTTCTCGAGAGTTGAAAAAGCATTTTCTCGTGCGGCTCGTGTTTATCTCTCTCTTTCGCTCTCACGAAAAAAAAAACGGCTGTACAAGTGTCTTTCTTTCACACTCCCGAGCAGTAGTAGCAGCAGCAGCAACAGCAGCTCCTGCTAAAAGAAACTGAATGCTCTAAAGAGCAGAGACGGAGCAAGCAGCGCGTTCCAACGAGTTGTGTATAGAATTGCAGCAGAAGCTTGCGAGCTTTCGGTTGCGTTGAATACAGCGATTCTTACTCGGGTAGAGAGCCGTAAGAGGAAGAGAGAGAGAGAAAGAGAGGGCGAAAGAAAAAATGCCTCCCACGCTTCGCCCTTATAGAGCAAAAATACTACTTACGAGGCGTTTCACATCAACTTATTGCTGCGTTGCACGCATGCAAAAAAGGTCTAGCAAAAAAAATACGAGGAAGCGAATAAGACGTCGCACTTACATTACGCGTTATTTTTGGTTACTCCACTGCCGCTAGCAAGCTCGCAAGCTCGTCTGTCTGTCGGACTCTTTTCATTTTCCGGGAAAATCCTTCGAGGCTCCTTCTCTCTCTCTGTGTACAATGCAGCTGCGTGATGCGCCCGCGTCCTGATTACATTCCCAGACGTGTACGTCGCGTATCTGACACATTACGTAAACACGAATTTCAATCGCATACGATGATGGTATACATAGCTATAGCAGCTGTACCTAAATATACCGATGCGGCCCTCACAATATCGCAAGTCCCTTTGATCGTTGCGATGAATCAATTACGATGTATATACACGCCACGGAGCTACTACTGCCACGTCAAGGCGCGCGCAACGAGATGTGCACGGTGAATGCAGCTGAGGCTTTTAGTATCTAGTTGCCTGCCGTCGCGCGCGTCTTCCTCATCGCGCGCCATGCACAGAGAAGATCGATCGTCTATATACATCGATGTACAATTTACTCGATCGATATTCGTAAAGGATTGCATTCAAATTAACGCATCAGTCAGCGTGATTGCGAAAATAGAACCGATAGTAGAAGAAATAGAAAAGAGAGAGACAAGATTCTTATTTTCTCCTGATTCGCTGCCTTCGCCGTCGTCGTTGTCGCGGTGTCAGACAGCAAACGCTAGCTATATGCAAATGTCATGCTGTGCAGTATCGGATAGGTACGCTGTCGCTGCTGCTGCTGCTGCTCTTGAGGCGCACCCGCTGCTGCTAGCTGCAGCAGCAGTTGTCTACAAGTGCTAAAAGTTCGCGCGCACTCTCTCTCTCCCTCAACGGCGACGGGCAGGAGGCGGGCATCAATATTATATGAGTGTTCCGGCGCGCCGCGTTCCTGGAGCACACCGAGCGTCGAGGTATTAATGCTCCACTCAAGAGGCAATCGATATACATATACATACTCTGTGTGTGTATGTGTGCCTGTGTGTCTATGTACGCGTGTAAGAGTGAATGAGTAAGTGTTCGGCCCTATCGTGCATACTGCAAACAATTGACGAGCTAATGACTCGAAAACGGTAACGGCTAAATTCGTATACAACAAGTAGGCCAGCTTAGAGAGAAATGAAAATTACGTGAATAACAACAACAGCAGCAGCAGCAGCAGCAGCAGCAGTAGCTACAGCAGTTGCAAGTAAAGTGGTTGCGGGCCGAGAATTTCATGAATTTTCGTTCCAAGTAAGGTATTGCGCAGTATGTACACAGCGCGCACAGCACTGGATGTATCCTTCGTTTTTTTTTTCGCCTCCATTTATTAGAGGCAACGTCCAGCTTCATCTCTGCAATAAATCGAATCTATTTTCTGAAAGTGTGCAGCAGCAGCAGCAGAGTAACAGCAACACAATGGATTACGTGCCAGGCAGCGTGAGCTTTTAAAATACACAACGCGCGCCAGCCGTCTATACGAAGAAATAAGGGCTCTGGCCTGTCTCTATCTTTCTTTTTCTGACTCGGTATTATGATGCAGCAGGTATACTACGACGATGTCGTCGTCGTATTCGTCGACAACGACAAGCTTGCAACATTTTTTCGATTCTCTCTCGCGTACGACAGCAGTAGCAGCGGTAGCGGCAACGATTCAACCCGTCTCTGCGAAGGAATCTTTATTTTCATCGAGCATTCCATTATCGTGTGCATGATTCTACGACTGTTCGTGTACAATTTTCTTCCACTTTTTTTCTCTCTCCTGCTTTCACTCTACCTTATTCCGTGCTCTGCTGCTGCTGCCACAGCGCATGCAACATCGATTTGAAGGGCAATTGTACACGTTTGCATTATATACTCTCGTCGAGCTACGACATATACAGCGGCAGCAGCTGACGAGTTGTAGCATGCAGAGCCCGAGTTTGCCCTCGTGCTCTCGCATTTGAGGCTCGCGACTAGCGTATAATTATGAACAGTATACACAGAGCTAAGTGGTATTTTTGATAATTCGAGTGGCCGTAGGGTACGTGCACGTATGCGCACTCTTACCTGCCTACTAGTTGCTAAGTGTGCATTAGAGAGAGCTTATAATATACAGACGTATAAAGCTGCGCGTACACGAAGAGAGAGGAGGAGAGAGAGCGAGAGAGAGAGAGAGCGAGAGAGAGAGAGAGAGAGAGAGAGAGAGAGAGAGAGAGAGAGAAACTGATGTTGGGATTAGTTCGGGGCTAATTCCTTCGAACTCGACGTACCGCAGCCAGATTACGTCGATGCTCTTCGCACTATTATTGTGGTTATTACATTATGAAAAATAAGTACGAATGTGCTCAGCTACTGGCTATAGTATTTGTTTCGTATGCAGCGGTCAACAGTAGATATTTATAAATAATACTTATAAATAAAAGAGAATAACGCAGCAATTTATGAGCCCCGCAGCCGACGATTTATACGTCTGCTGCGGGCTATACGCGTGTTGCGCGCGAATCACACACGTAACAAAGACAGGCACTTGACGTATCGCTTTCCGCGTGCTGAGCTGTGCTTTCGCTCGCTGCTCAGTCGGCTTGTTTATACATGCATATGAGTGTGTCTGTGTGTCTGTGTGTGTGTGCAAAAGTCGCGTAAAGCTGAGGGGGCTCGCTAGATCCACGCCATTGTACACATGCCATATATACGTATACACATATAATACGTGGCTGCACGAGCGTGGGAGCGCATGGAACAAATGCTAAGGAGGTCAGGGTCGGTTCGGCGCGTACAGGCTACGTTAGCTACGTATATAATGTATAGTGCGCGCCGCGAGAAAACGAGGTCGCGTGTGCAAGCTCGAACCCCCCTACCACTGCTACTCTGCTACTACTCCCCCATGCTGTATAGATATAAGTTGCAGTCTGCACAAACGCATATAATCGTATACGTTGGATGCGAAATGGCGCGTGACACACGTAGCTCGCGGAGATTCCGACTTTATGTCATGCGTATATCTATCAGCAGCTATCTGTGCCTGATACCTGCGCCCGCGGAGAAGCAGCAGCAGCAGCATCGAACGTCGTCTCTCTCTCGCTGCTGCAGGCTACTAGGTACACGATTTCCTTGCCTTTCGGCGCTGGCACAGGTGCATGATATGTTTACGTGCATCCACGATATATAGTTTCAAACTCAATATATACACGCGCGCGTCGTAAAAAGAGATGCACTTTTTTAAGGGCTTAAACAACTCGAACGAGTGCATGGCGCACTTTCGGCGCAAGCTTCAAAAGGACGAGGAAGAAAAAAGGGCGCATGTGTCGCCATCTCGCAAGCTTCCAACTGTACGATTAAACGACTATAGCACACACTTCACACAATATACGCGCGTAGCAAAATTTCGTCTTTGTCCGTCAAACGTCTCTCGCGCTATAGCTCGAATTTCGGATGAAAATAAAAGAATGACGTGCTCCAAAACTCTATACACACTCGATTTTTCCTCTGTGAATACGTACGTACGTACGTACGTACTAGAGATCGATATTTCGTGTAGGTATACCCTGCCAGTAGTACAGAGAAAAAGAGAGCGAGAGAAAGAGAGAGAGAGAGAGAGAGAAAGATAAAATGCCTCGTGTTGCAAATTGCATAGAAATCGCAGGGTCTTATCGGACGTGGAGAACGAGCCCTGCTGCTATAGCCCTGACGAGATTCTAATGTGTCTATTGTACAGCTTGGCGCACGGGACTCGGCGCGCGAACGGAAAAATGAGCTCCGGATGATTTGTTGGCCGAGATTAACTGCTGCATGTATATACCTTATACGAGTCTCGAGCCTGGAAGAGAAAAATAGGTTCGCGACGTGATGAGAGGAGGGCAACTCCGGGCTTGGCTATAGTTAGGCCTCTCATTCAGATATGCAGCATAGATTGGAACTATCCGCGCTACCTATATATACCCACGTTGAATAAGAATAAGCTGGAGTAAGATGGCCCAACTCTAAAGTCCCTTTGTTTTGATTTTCTGTTTTGCAGAGTTTACGAGGGATGGTGCAGGCGAACTCGAGCGACGTTTGCGAGACCAGGGACCCGTGCCAGCACGGCGGCATCTGCATATCGACGGACAGCGGGCCCTTCTGCGAGTGCCGTAGCGCCGAGTACGAGGGCATGTACTGCGAGAAAGGTGAGTGATTTCGTGCATCATCGTATCAATACATTCATTGCCTTTCACATATTATAATACATCATCTTTTCTCGCTCTTTGATCTATGAACACGTTCACGCACGCGTAACACACATACACTAACACTGGCACCGGCTATAACGTACTCGAAAAACTCGTATGAGTGATCGATGCCGCACGGATGATATATGTTGTTCGGCTCATATAGAATATAAAAGCGGAATCCTTATACGAGAGCCACGTCTCGTGCCACGGCATGCTCGCAGAGATCTATATAGCGCATTATTTCAATTGCGCGTTATACGCGTGCGGCGGCGAGGAAGTGCTGTATATGCGGATCGGAGGAGGAACGAGCGAGAGACAGACGCGCATTCGCGATTATTGAGCGTTGACCCAGTTTCCGGTACGGCACCACCAGTGGAAGCAGCAGCAGCAGCGACAGCCAGTGCTGAGCACCGAGTACTATATGCCGAGTAGTAGTACTACAACTCAATGCACGTGCATGCGCCAATATATATACCATGCAAGGCACACACAGGCTCTTTATATTACAGAGCGGCCCAGCTTACTCTCTTGTGTCGGTCGTTATAGCAAAAAAAAAAAAATCTTACACACAGGCCTGGCCAAAGTATATTCAAACTCGCAGCACAGATTCCTTTACTTTTCTCTCTCTCTCGCTCGCTCGTACCCTCGTACCCTCGTGCTTTTTCACACACACACGCTACTGGTGTACCGCATACATACCACACATGAACACACACGCGCACAAGTCTGCGTATACTATTTTGCATTTTTTTTTCGTCTTTTTCTAATCCTCATAATACCGACCGCTATTTTTTACTCTTCCACTTTCGCGTCGAGTCCGTGTATACATCGTACCGATCTTTTTTTGCCTCGCCCCCGGAAAATGACATAGAGCTTTACATACGTATATGAGATACGAGTTCGGTGGCTAATGATAAACATTTTCATGAAAATTTAACGGAACGTCAGCCGGCTCCCGAGTAAATATATACGCGCACGCACGGAAAATATTCCGTCGTCATTGTCGGGCTGTTGCGAGGAGGGCAACAAAAAAACTGCCGTGGCTATCCTCGGCTATATGAATAAATATCGCCGCGCTACAGCAACAACACTCACTACAATACTATGCTATACTACTTTGTTCGTTTTATTTGTTTGTTTGTTTTTCATTCTACACCCACCGGCGTTGTATTCAACATTTTGCTCTCTCTCCTACTTCTTCTATCTATCTGTTTTGCTATGCACGAATAAAACGCGTGTGTTGTGTAACGCAAAAAAGAAGCCTGGAGCATGATCCTACCCACCGTCAGTGCCGATGATTATTGGTCCAAAAAACGCTGTGAGTTTCAATATAATTTTTTTTCTTTTCTATCGCTGTCTCTCCATCTATCTTTTTTCTTGACATATTTAACTCACTTTTTTTATTTCATTTTATTTCCACTCTTCCTTTCATTCTACTATCTATCTATCTATCTATTTCTTTCTGTGTCTCTATGTGTATAAACGTATGCCTATACGTGTATTGCATCTTCGTCGTTTGTTTTCTCACGTTCTCTCTCTCTCTCTCGCTATGCGTTGTGCGTACACAAACACACATGCATTTAGCCGATACGATCGAGCTTCTACTACTAAGCCTTCAAAAACTAGGTAAAGTAATTCAATTTCGTTCTTCTCTGAGCTTTTTCTACATTTGTATGTATTCAAAAAAGCTTCGATCCTGCACGCAATTTTTTTTTTTTTTTAATTAACGAGCCAGTTGCTGCGCTTCTGCAACCAACACCATGCTGTTGAGTAAGTATGACAACAATAGGTACCTATATATAACAAGTGTATAGCTACAGTGTGTAGTTCATTGGTACATTGAATAAGTGCGTGGTTTGGAGGGGATGGTCGTGTAGCACCTAATAATCACTCGCGTGTTTGCATTAACGTGCTTGCGCGCGCGCGCACACTCGTTGCAGAAGTAATTTTATTTGACAACTCGATGAAACATGCAAAAGTCACAATTGAATCTCTGCGCTCCCCCTTTTTGTGCAGCTTTAAATAAATGCACATACATGTACATACGTTTCTCTCTCTCTCTCACTCGCTCGCTCGCTCTCTTTCGGCACGTAATCGAATCGGCCGTCCTACGATGTTTACTCGCGCAAACGGGCCATTTACTGCAAGCGCGCGTACTCGTGTGTGTGTGTGAGAAAGAGAGAGCAAACTTCGTTTTATATATATGGTGCACACTCGGGGGACAGATGTGTAATACCCCAGCGACGATATTTCTGCGGTGGACGGTCGGCTTTTCTTGCGAGACTTTTCATCGCTTTCAGCGCGGCAATGGCAGCAGCTGCAGCAGCTTGCGGCGCATTGGCCGCAAATATAGGTCATATCGGCCGCTGGAGCACACACCAAAGTATCCGAAAACTCCCCCGCAACGAGGGTGTACGTGACTGACTATATCCGCGTGCGCGCATAATATGTCCTGCGGCGCGTGCATAACATGTGTGTGGATCGGCCAAGGCACGACGCCGAGGCGCGCGCGGTATTAGCATGTATATTGGAATCTCCGATCGGCTGTAAGGAATGCCGCGCGATACGATCAATTAGACTCGATCCTTCTTCGCTCGGTCGTATATTATAATCTCACTTTTCGAGCGCGAGAGTGTGTTTTTATCGCTTCTCTTCTGCTATTGCTTCTGCCGTGCTCGCCTTCGATTGATTTACGCTCGCGCTGCGGCAGTAGGCGGCAGTATAGTAGGCGGCGGCTGTACACACTTATCGCGCCGTACGCGTCGAGGTATAAGTGCCAAAAGCTCAAAGGAGCGAGAAAGCAGAAAGTTAGCTCGCGCGATAAGATAGAAAATATAAAAAAAGTTCGTCTCTCGAGCTGGAAATTGCAGCTCTAGCTCCCTCGAATTGCCAAGGCGCCGTAATAAAATGTCTCGCGCACGTCTCTTATACTATGTATCTCTCTCTCTATATATGTATCTGTGTAGGAGGGGATTGTGTAATATAGCACGTAGCAGCATAAGCTAGCCCTATCGCTAGATAATAATATATGTCTTTGTGACATGAGCAGTGCAGCGCGCGACAGTGCGCAAAAGTCAGCTCGCTCGCTCGATCACACACGCACTTGACTCATCCTGATATCTCAATTCTTCTGTCTTTTTTATGTTTTCGACTCATGGCTGCGCTGCTACTACAGATAAGGCGTCGTCGGAGGCGTCGTTCCGCGGCACCGAGTACTTGACCATCGACCTGAGCAAAGGCAAGCCCGTGCTCAGCTCGCAGGAGGGCATATTCCTGCAGTTCAAGACGAAACAACCCAACGGTCTGCTCTTTTACTCTGGTAAGTTTTGCTCTGTTCCATTGTATTTTTTTTCTTCTTTTTTTCCTTTTACTCGTGGACGCGGTGGCTAATGGCCGAACAAAGGACATATAATAATTGAATTATGTCGTTCCGGGGGCGCGCTTGTTACTTTCGTTTCGCACTCTATTACACGCTCGAAACAAGCACGAGCAAACGCGCGTGGCAGCAGCGGCTAAGTGATATAATTATTACGAATGGCCTCTCGCGGTGCATTATATTACCCTCCCCCTCGCACACCTTTCTATATATACGAAACGAGCTTGCGGACTGTATGCTCATTAAGCCACCATCTACCGCGCGTTATTCGATTATAAACACGCGTTTAAACTAGATAGTTTTATTAATATTTATCAAGATAAGCAGTCGTAATTTTTTTTAAGTTGACGCTGTTGTTTCAATTTAAGACTGCCTGCTGCACCGTTGCTGCACCGTGCAGCACGAGTTCGCTCGCTCGAGAGTAAAAGAAAAACAGCCAAAATTTCGAGCTTAATGATAGCCTCGCTGCTGCGCTGCGCTCGCGAGTCGTAAAAGTGCAATTCTCAGCAGTTGTACATAGCAGCAGCAGCAGTAGCATTTCTCTCTCTCTCGCTCCGTGTATATATAAAGCTCCGGGACTAATTGGGAGAAAGCGGAGCTTCGTGCGCTGCGGCTTATTATTATTTTGGAGGCCAGCCCATAAAGAGTCTCGCAAGATAATGGTCAGGAGCGAGCTAGGCCAGCCTCGGAACATGATGGCTGCTGGTAGTGGGTTCGCTTTTAATTATTCAGAAAACTGATACCACGTGTGTGTGGGTGCAACATGTATACGCGCGCGTGTACTATAGGTACCTGTGTACCCACACACTGCTCCTGTCACGCAGCTATATAACTGCAACAGCGGCAGCTAGGCGCAATTAAGTCCGGCTGCATCTTTCATGCTTGCAGCTGGATAATTAGTATGCGGTTATAAAGACTATGCAACTTCGGCCTTCCATGGTCGGTCTCCACTCACATGCGTGTGTGTGTGTGGGTGTGTGTGCGAGGCTATAGTCCTGTATCTTAGGCATATAATACGTATAAGAGGATCAACGTGGATTTCAGCATCTCCGCTACGCTCATACGCGGCCGATCGGCTAATTACAAAGCTAGGCGAGGCCTCGGATATAATACGAATATATGTAAGCATATAGAACAAGGAAGAACGGGAAACGAGCTATGAGAGAGAGAGAGAGAGAGGGAAAGAGCACTTGGCCCGTACTGGGATTACGCGGTGACGTAGCAGGAGCAGTTCTTTTCCCAATATGTTAGACTTGCGATATAAGCTTTTTCCATTTTATCACAGTAACGGTATAGAGCCAACCGTAGAGATGGGGTGAGGAGGGAGGGCGTAGCTTATGCCGACTCGGATTACTTCTTTCCCGGGCTGTGTCGTTACATTTTATTTATATAATAGAGACTTGAGAGGGAATGAGAGAGAGAAAGGGTTTTAATATCTGTATTAAATATCGTTTTGCAGGCCATGGGCAGGATTACATGACGATATCCCTGAGGGACGGAGGTGTGGCCGTCGGCATGACTCTGGCCAACGGCCGACTGGATATGCACATAAAGCCCACGAGGATACGTTTCGACGATAACCAGTGGCACAAGGTTATGGTCCATCGCAAGGTTCAGGAGGTTCGTATTTACATAATTATATTTTATGGATATGCATTAAAGCAGTATTATGTGTGTCGCGTGTATTCGGATTTGCATAAGAGCCGCATTCGTTGCAAATCTCGCGCGCAAACGAGCAATCAAAGGTAAAAAAAAAAGGTAAAAATGATGGTACGAGAGATGAGGAGAGAATTTCGAGCTCAAGTGGGCTCTTTGCTGGTGCAACAGCAGCAACTCGTCGTCATCGTCGTCGTCGTCGTCGTCGTCGTCGTTGCTCGGATCGTAACGAATTCAAGTCACGTGCGCGCACGCCTGCAGAGAGAGAGCGAGGATCCCCTTTCTCTCTGTGGGATCCCTTAGCGATCGACGCTATATAGCCGGTTTAATGCCCGAGTCTTGTCGGTCAAAGAGCCTCACGCAGCTTTTAGACCACCAGCGTGCGCAGCACCGCAAATACATTGCGTTTCTCGATCGTTTGGAGAGAGAGAAGCCCTCGTGCCCGGATTCGTTTGCATTGGGCCGTCTCGGCCTGCCTGCCTGCCTCCTCTCTCTCTCTCTCTCTCTCGACATTCTTCGTTGCGCAAGCTCTCGATGGTACGGCGTCTCTCAACACAAGCACGATATTAAAGCTAGTGACCCGTTGAACGAATTAATATTGCACAACACGTGCTCACGGGCTTATAATATATATTATATACACGCGTCGAAATCGTTGAACTTTGGTCATTTTCGTTCTTACCCCCGAGCTGGTGTACAATATATATAGAGGAGCGAGCTTTTCGCGTATGTGTGTGTGTGTGCGCGTTTCTGCACTCTGTATAGATATAAGCACGCGCGGAGCTGTAAGCAAATCCCGAGGCCCGTTATATCTAAGCTCCACTGCAGCGATTTATCGCGTGTACGCTATTCTATTCTGCTATACGCTATATATAGCGAGTAGTTCGAGGGGATCAAGAGGTCAGCGTCGATTATCGCCGAGGATTATGCATCAGTAGCAGCTCGGCTCTCGTGTATTTGTATACGTATATAGCGCCGAGGCATCTTTAGCTCCGAGCTTTCTCAATTTTTCATCGCGCTTCATTCTCTCTGAAACATGCGACGACGCCGACGAAGCCCTTTGTCATCGGGTTGCACGCGCGCGCGCGCGCGGCCAACAAGATGTTTTATCGAATTTATATACATGTATAGAGACGACACGGGCGAGCTCGTCGCGACCCAATTTCGCCTCTGATTTTTCAAGCTAATATTTTCCAAGTAAATCCACTCCTTCCCCTTTCTACCCCACCTCCTCTTCTCGTTTAACTCTCCGTAGTTTTAGGATGAACAAATCGCTTGGCGCGCGCGCCCGTCGTCGTCGTCGTCGTCATCGTCGTTCGTCGCAGTGTTCGATTTTGCGCTTGCATTTATAACATTGAAGCAAATCGCCTCGAGCTCCACGTAAGACGGGGCCGGGGAAAAAAAATATAGGAGCCGATCGAGCTGCTATATATATACGAAGCATAGTTGGCGCGTTCATTTGCTCTCATACGGATCGAGGGTGTACACATAGTTTGCGTAACTCCACCGCAGCAGCAGCAGCAGCAAGCCGGCATAGCATAGCAGCTAGCAGCTAGCAGCTTAATCTCTCTTTCTCGATCCGACCAGCGCGCGCGCGCTGCATCGGTATACTGCCACTATACTATATACCAGGCGGCAAGCACAGGAGTTTGTGCGCACTCGCGCATGCTTTTTCCTTATTTCTCTCGAGAAATCTCTCGACTATGCAAATAAAAATCTCTGCTGATCCTGCAGCAGCAGCAGCAGCAGCTCGTACGCGCGTATTCGTGCCAGTATATGTGGCGGTACTTGTCGATACGTCACTGGCTTACTCTGCGGCGGCATAAATTGCTATTGGATTGTCATTAGTGTCGCAGCGCAGCACCAGACACTGTGTGTAGAGACTGTCTTTTCTTTCCTGGTATGTGTGCGCGAGTGTGTGCATTTTTATCGGATTCGCGCGCACACAGGATTCATCGACCACCTGCGATATACAAGTGTATCGTCGCGCGGGGCCTCCTCTCTGCTGTTTTCGAGATTTTTTCGAGCCCGCCCGAACGCCCGCGCGCGCGCGCTCGTGTGTACGTAGCTCTGTGCAGCTACACACACACAGCGTGTTGTACTATCGATTTTACTTCAAACTAGACGCAAACGAGCAAAAGCCGATACACACAGCTATAAGGGGGTGGTAAATGTTTGAACGAGCTCGGAGCGCTGCTGCACACTATAGATGTACTCGTGTGTGCGGCGAGTATAATTGCGCGAAGCGTACATACACGCGCGCACGAGAAACCGGGTATAAGGATCAACTCTCTCGTCGAACCTTTATATATACGAGGCGCATTATGGACAATCGAAAAAGTTACCATTTAAAACACTTTAACGTACGCCTCTCTCGCGCTTATTTACGCGCTTTCAGAAGAGTAGTTTCGCGGCAATGACTCCAACTTTCTTGCAGCACCCGCAAACGCACGCACGAACACTCGCACATACGTTGATCCACATGCGCGTACAATACACTTCACAACATGCGCAAACTACTACCCTATTGTCTGCACCGCAGCAACTCTTGCTGCGCACACCCACACACACACACGTACATAAATACATGAATGTACGGCTGCTATTCATGCCCGCGCGTTTCGCGAGCAGCGATAACGTACGAAAAGTAAAACTCGAGAGGCAGCTATTCGCGCGCGCTCTCGCACCCACTATATCGCTTCGTCCTTTGTGTATGCACGTTTGGCTTATTGTCATCGTTACGGCTCGAAAGTTTAGCTTTCCAATTGCTTTTATTTTCTCGTGTATAGCTCAGCTGAGACCTTAATTAATCGTTTCGAAAGCAAATTTCGGTGTGAGTGTATGTGTGTGGCTGTTTTTGTGGGATTTGGGCAGGCTAAGCCCTCCAATCAGTAGAACTATGAATTCAGAATCGTCGTTAAATATTACTTCGGTAGTTGTCTCTGTACAAGTAGTTAGCTTACATCTTCATCCCCCATCCACCGAGTAGTGATCAGATATTCAGAGGCAGTTCTTCAAACTTCATCCATCAATAACTGATCTCCGTCCATGATTCTCACAGTTCCATGCCCGCCAGATGGTGGACAGGGGTCTGAGAGAAGGCAAAAACAAACTTCGGTACCTATATAATATTTCTCAGCGTCAGCCTGAGTGCGTAGTTGCTACGTACATATTCCGGGAATTCGCTCACATAAATGTAATGTAATCGTGAAGCGCGAAAAAGCATTATTATCGAAAAGAGCGTGGAAAACTTTTTGAGTTCATTTAGCCCCCTGACTATTCCCGCCCCACATTACGTTATACCAAGCACTACGTAGCTACTCCTTATTCCGCACTTAGCTGCGTACAGTGCAGGAATCGAAAAAAGTACTCAAAAAGTTAGAGGGCAAAAAAAACAAAGGGTTGGTATGGGAGGAGAGTTTATAACGATTGCTGCTTCTGCGCGCGTGTATAAGAGCTTGCGCTCAATGATGACTGCTGATTAATTCTTCGACTCTTCTCTTTCTTCGTACCTACTCTAATTTTTCCTTTCTGCTTTTTTTACAGATTTCGTCGGTAACGAGATTCTGCAGGGTGAGTATCGACTTGGACTACAAAACTTTCTATGTGTGTACGTATCCATGATGCCGTTGCAGCCTCGACTCTCCACTGCCACAGAAACCGAGAGATGAGAAAAAAGCCACTTGTAAAATCGGGAATTTTCCCAGGCTCTCGCAGTATGTATAGTGGCAGCAGCAGCTGCTGACAGTCGTCGACAAGGCTCATTTGAAAATTCCACGAAAATACCACCATAAATTCCCTCTCTCTCTCTCTCTCTCTTGCTTATCCTTCACTGTATACGTGAGACGCTGCCCTTTATGTAATGCTGCCACGCATTCAATGGCAAAATGCAAATGACATTTCCCGTTTTTAAAAGCCGTCTCTCAACGTTTTACCTACCTCCCTCTCTCTTGCACGCGTGCCTGGGGAATAAAATCGGCTTTATAACGCGAGGTTCTCGTTATTCGTCCATAGGACCTCTCGGGTGGCACTCGCACACGGGTTTTCTCTCACAAAACATGGGGAGTAGCCTGTGATCTGAACGTACATATACACATAAGTACACAAGCAGAATAATACGATTAACCGGTGAGAAGTTTAAAGCAACTCATTGGATAATCATGGCGGAGTGCTTTTTTGCTACAATATTCCGGAACGCTTTGGGATTGAACTGCGTCGTAATTACTTGATAATTCGAATGATATTCAGCTGAGGATATACTTTTGATATAAGTGACACTCTCGGTTAGGAGCACTGCAAGCGCCATTAGTTCAGCATAGCTAGTATCCCAAAAATCCACTGGCGCCCTCCAGATTTCGGGTACGTTTTATCTTCAAGCAATTCGTAATACTGAGTTTTCCGATAATAAAAGCTTAGAGATATACTGTTATTGGCAACACAACACTATTGTGAAAATTCGATTATCGTAGCAGCTTTTCTTAAACAATCTGAAACATCTTATACTTGTCGAAGTTCGACAGAGGCCGAATAATCTAATAGTAACTATTAGCTACATCCTGAAAAAGTATCTTAGGAGTAAATAATTCAGCAAAACTGGGCAGCTAGATCAGTGAAAGTTATTTTTAGAAACACAGTTTGTACGTAAAATACCTACTCCCTGTGTACGCGGTTTAAAAACAAATGAATTTTTTCTTCTCGAAAAAACAAAAAATTCTCGCACAGTGCAGCACACGTAATATAAGCACACATACGTCGCACAGCCACGACGTGCCTGAAAGCTACATAATGTATCGTAAAAAAAAGGAACAACCGCATGACACTTTGGCACGCGATAGGGGGGTGTAGTAGCAATGCACGAGTATGCTCATACCGATAATCAATAGTACAATAGCCGCGCGCACCGTGTCGATTCAAAAGTCAACGCACGGTAACAATAAAAAAAATTCAGAAAATATTCTTTGGGGGTTGAGAAAGAGTCGGAAGGACACGAGGTCGATTAAGTGGAACAAGGTCTCTAGTGCGTTCATTAGTACCTGCAGTTCTCGACTTGTAGTGGTGGACGGTGGCGGCGGCGGCGGTGGTGGTGGTGGTACGCGTTGCTTTGCTCCCATGCGTATACGCATATATGCAAATAAGCGTTAATTCTGCCGTTCTAACGAGGTCAAGCGTTACCCATCGTTCCTTGCTGTGCTCTTTCTATCTCTCTCTCTACTTCTGGCTATGTATATTATATCAAATATTCATTCACGGAATGCATTCCTGTAGATTTGTGCGCGCGGGAAGATAACTCCGCAGTGGATCGATTTTCCACCAAACTTTCAAGGATTTTCCCAATGGACTTTTTTAAATTTTTTCTCCTCTTTTTTTATGTAAATTATTCGAAGGACGAAGTTATTAATTGCTTGTCCCAGGTATATCGAAATCGCGCTCTCCTGCACATTGACTTTTCCCCCACGGATGAAAATTTAACGATCCCAATTATAAAAAAGCGTATATAATATTTTTTTTAAATTTCTTGGCTTCTTAGAGATAGCTAACGAACGGATACGTAGATCTATTGACGAATGACAGATTCACTTTAAGACTGTTGAACTTTATTAAACTTATGGATGTATAATTAGAGATTACTCCTGTCTTTTCTAAAAGACAAATATCCAGTGCCGTACAACCGCATATCGCGTGTTATCTCTTAATTTTATCATTCGTGATTACATTGTTTGCGGCAGTTGTACCAGCAGCTACATCTCTCACTCCAAAAATCATCCGAAAATCAAATCTCAACTCGGGCGCAATAGAGATTCCGCTATTTGAGTTAAAAAGCAATTCTTACGAGCGAGTTTGATTTAATTAAGAGAGCTGCAGCAATTCAGCATTTACGAGAGAGATGATTATTAAGTCAAGCCAATGAAGTTACTCTCTCTCTCTCTCTCTCTTTCTCCACTGCCTCATATACATCGTTGTTCAACTCGTTTTCATAATTCCGACTTTTCAAATGACCAATTCACGAGAGCTGAAAGAAAAAAGCTCGTGCGCGTCGCGAGTAAATTGGATGTCTCCGAGTAATTATCAAGATTTGAAAAATGTTTTAAAGCTCTAAGTGTAGCTTCATGTTCAACTCTTGAGAGAGAAAGAGAAAAAGTTAGCGAGAGGGAGAGAGAGAAAGAGAGAGATTTTTCGCGCTTCTACTTGTCTAAATGCTATGTTAGCTAAAAAGCAACCCCTCCGTTTTCCCCCTTGCACATTACACGCGCAAAGAAGGATAAACTTTACGCTTGAAGAAGTCCTCAGCAGAAGCTAGGCAACAGTGGCAGCAGAGTAGCAGCAGTATACACGAGGAAGATAGCAAGAGAGAATCTGCACTCAGATTGCAGCAAACTCGCGACTGGAATATCGAATAGGGGGACGAACGTCGCTACTAGCCGAAGTTGTTTTATTAATTCAATACACGCGAGGCATTTGAGCCTGACTGGCAGCTGAAGCACAGGCATAGTTTAAAGACTTTTTCGACGGGTTAATAAGCGCCACGATGTGGAATTTTTCTGCTCGGCTTATGTAGACGCGCTTTTTGATCGTAATTACTCGCATGCAGCTTTATAACGACCTACTCCTAAAAACAGTCAATAGAGACGAGTCGTGTATATTCGCTTTTCCAAAACGATGATTCGTCGGTGGTAAATTAAGCATTTCCAGGGTGTTGGGTGATTATATTTACGGCCCTGAGAGCAGCTGCAACGGCTTATCATCGTCCTTGCAATTAGGTGACTCGGTGTCATGCTTCCAATTAACCATTCACTGCACCTCTAATTTTCGAGGCACACTACTTTACTTTTTTTGCCCTCGTGACGCGTAATTGTGGTGAATTTTTGGAATAGCAGTAGCGAAAAAAATTTGTTCTCTTTACAGCTAACGGCGTCGGTCGACGGAATTTACACGGAACAAGGCCACACGGCGGGTGCTTTCACGAGGTTGGCCAGCGAGAGGCTTCTGGTCGGCGGTGGCGCTGACGCCCGAGAACTCGCTGGCTCGAAGGGTATCAACAATTTCGTCGGTTGTATGCGCAAGGTAACGATACCATCTCTCATCTTCCCTTCGAGGCACTTTTTTTTGCATTCAAACACTTATAGCTCTAATCTCCCCTATCTTTTTTCAGGTTGAATTTCAGGCCGAAGGGGTGCGCATGGAGCTGGTGGAGGCGGCGCGTAGTGGTACGGTAGGTGCCGCAGCCTGGGGCAAGATCGAGTTTCAGTGTCGCGACCCGAGAACGTCGGACCCCGTGACCTTTACCACTGGTGACTCACATCTCGTAAGTAGCGCTTTTCTCCATCTCGTTACATTATGACTTTTTTATATCATAAATCCAACCGTAGCTCGTATTATAAACTCTTTCTTATTAATTAACATTAATATTGTTCAATCCAAGAGATGAAAGTTCAACTTGTCTTAAGCCTTGAGTATCTTTGAATTTGGTATTATATATTCATATCTCTAATATTCGATAATAATTTGTGTACCAAGTATTTACTTGTACCTTGTAATATTTTCAAGTGATTGATTAATTCATTAATTGTATCTCACATATCTTTAGAATCGCGCGCGACGCACACTCATTGATTCTCTCTCTATCCTCTCTTCTCTCTATCTATTTCACTCACACTTATCCAATTCTGGTTTTGACTATATCTTATATCTACTACCCGCATCCAGAATGATCAACTCTCTCTCTTTCCCTTTCGCTCTGTTTCTCTCTCTCTCTATCTCTATTTCGCTACTTCACAAGTCAAACTCTGTACATCATAGACTAACAAGCAGCATATAAACCAGCCTCCTGAGTATATCTACTACTGAACCTTCTCATTTCCTGATGTGCATCTGTATATCTACGAATGTGCACTCACTTATATTGCAATATGTTATGTGTATATTTACACATATATACGAAATCTATCCAACTTGAAAAAGTCCTTATGTATCTTAGCCCTGTATCAAGAAATATTATATTCTACATAACAGTGTATACTACCTTGTCTTGTCCAGTATATCATATAACAAATCCAGTATATTATTATCTATACACTCTTTGCCTAAGTAAACTAGCATATACAACTTTGAAGCATCCCATGTTATATAATAAGTATACTTATACCTTATTCAAATGTCTGGCTGTCTGTTCGTTCTCGACGTCGAGACACATCAACCGATGTGCATACGTGCTATACATTTTTCGGTGCATCGTTGGGCGTTATACACCAAATGACCCCGCCGCGCTGTCGCGGACGAAAATAAAAGGAAGAAACAACCGAACTGGCGCAGAAACTTTTTTCTCTCCATTTATACCATTATATTCCTCGTTAAGGGTATATCTCCGTATACTATTTCGCATTATCATTATGTACACAAACACATTTAAACAATTCGAAAAGAAAATAACTCCCAATTCCTCCTGTCAAATCTTCTATCTCTCCAACAGAGCACTGATTCGTATAATAGTGTATATTATGATATAAAAACCGTAGGAGTTTGACTGTGATCCGCGAACGGTGCTTCAAAAGGAGCCACAATGTACGACACACGCCGAGTATATATGCACGATGCTCATCCAGCTCTGCAGTCGAAAAATAATAGACGTGTTAATGAACTCGCGCTCGCGTATTACGTAACGACTTGCTCGCGCGACATAAATAGGTCAAGACGCGATGGATCTATATAGCATCCTTGCTGCTGTTTTAACTGCCTGCTTTGTATGTGTGTGTGTGTGCAGTATATGCGCACAGAGAAAGAGAGAGCAGTTCTAGTGAATAAGTAGGTATATATGCTATAGCAATCGTTTGGCGCATACTATATAAGCAGCGTAGCATGGCCCAAGCGTAAACGACACGCGAGAGGCTTATTATCATCGCGCCTTCGTGAAACTTTTACCGCGCCTGTAATTATATCTCGGGCGACGCTACCACTACTCTCTCTTTTTTTCCACCCTTTTCCGAGCTCGTATATATAAATTAACTACGCTTTTTCTTAATATCGCTACGCTTCTGTTTTTTTCCTCCTTCTTTACCGCCTGTTTTTGCGCCTCTCGTTATAATATTGCGGCAAAGTAAGACTGCTACTGCTGCTGCTGTTGCTGCCGCTTCGTTACGATGCACACACATATATTAAGCTCCCTTCGTTAACATGTAGGCTATAAATATATGTGTGTGGGTGTGTAAGTTGGTATGTACGCTGGAGACATGTGCAGCAGCAGCAGCAGTAGTAGTGTCGAACTTAAACTTTTTCTTTACTCTACGCGCACTGCAGCCAGCCGGCCAGAACTAAAGTACGCCGAAATTCGCAGTCAACTCTAGCTTTTAACTACTACTGCGTCATCTTTACTCGTGTACGTGTATGTACTCACACGTGTACATTCTACGTGTACTCGTCGTCGTGAGTTACGAGGTAAACATTTTTTTTTTATTTCTTTTTTTTTCATTCAACTTTTTTACAAGTCGTTCGTCGCTTTGGAAGGTTGAAAAGATTTTCGTCGAGTAACAAAACCGTCGCAATTAGTCGCGCATCTAGCAAATCATGCAAAAACCATTGTGCTGGAACGAGCCGAGAAAGATATTACGACGAATCAAAGAGCGACGGATATGAAAAATATCTGCTTGTGAGAAATGAATCGCGCATCGGATAGTCAATTACGCTCGGAGCTCGCGTGCATTTCGGTCGATGACTCCCTCGATCATTATATATTACGATGATTATTATTTTATTCTATATACACATTACCGGTACGAATAACCATTAGTTAAAATAGGCACTTCTCGTTTAAAAGTCCGCCGTCAGCTTTTCTGAATATTTAACGTGCTTGCGGAGATAATTTTCCGTTTCGAGTTTGCGTATACCATCGCTGCTCGCATCGCCGATTAATAAAACATCAGATGAACGAGCGATATTGACGTTAATGCACACATACACACACGTATGTATACCCGCCCACGCGCGTGGACGAGTTTCGATCATGATTTTTCTCCTCACGCCCGGTCGGGTGCTTATAAATCACGCTGGGAAAATTTTTATTTATACGAGCGGTTTTGTTGTTTTTATTTGCACGGAGCGAGAATCGCCGCTGAGCAGGCTCAGAGTTATCCGTAACAATAAAAAGCAATTAATTCGGGCTTGGTCAAATATTTCAGCGCGGGCGTGTGCGTGTAGCCGCCTACGTATATAGTGAACGTTTTATGAGATTAGCGCAAGATATAGATATAGATGTATATCTATAATGCTCTGGCGACTGCGAATCGCGCGCATGCCGAAGGTGCGCCCAACCGTACACAAACACGGGGGCTTTCAAAATATTAATCGATATTTATACACCGCAGTGAGTGAATGCACCGAGCATATAACGCGTATATGTGTGTGTGTTTGTGGCGCTAGTGATCCGTTGTATTCTCCAAACATTGCTCCAGCTTTGACCCACATATGTAAACGTATATCAATATACATCATATGCGTGCGTACTCAAATTCATGCGCGCGCGCGTGTATGTGACACACACACACAACGGACCGTGTGTATATAAGCCAACACAACAAAACGAAAAAGCCATCGCTCGGGCGAGACGCAGCCAGTGCAAATTAAATCATTACCATTATGAAGCTTATACGGCTGTATTATGTGCGCGCGTGCAGCTCGGGGGCGCGCGAGCGCGATGTAATCCAATTAAAGCGTGAAAAAGTCGGAAATTTATCGAAAGCCGCAATTCTCTGCCGCGCGCGAAGAATAGCCCATTGAAAGGGGGCTCCTCTCTCTCTCTCTCTCTTTCTCTCTCTCGTGAAACGCACGGCTATTCACATACGTACAAGTGCAGCCGCGGTGGCGGCGTACATATAATAGCGGGTACTCTCAGCTGTGCATACACACTTCAGTCTATATGTGTGTCTGTGTGTGCGCAAGGGACGCGCTCCATTAACCGCAGCGCACTGCAACTGCACTCCGCTAGCACACTGCAGCCGACCGCGTATTACGCGTTGGGTATTATAAGCGCACGCGATCGATGCGCGGATTTTTGTAAGAAAAAACTGCTTCTGCACTGACTTCTGCCGCCTGTACTACTACTACTACTACGCTGCAAGGGCTTAATTAAACGAACTAAAAGTCGAAGATGACTGCGGCTGTGCACGGAGGCTTAATTAAGAGAGCTGCGAACTTTTACGTCTGCTAAAGACCGCTATCTTGAAATTCCATCTGATAAGGGCGCGCGTCGTGTGTACGTGTGTGTGGGTGCGCAAGTGAATGAGGGACGCGAGACATACCACCGGCTGACTGTAGCCGTGTTCGTACTACTGCATTGCGCGCGCGGACGACGCCTCATTTTTTTCTTTCTCTTTTTTTTTCGCTTCTTCTTCTTCTCCTCAAGTTGGATGAGCATCGCTCGTAATCAAGGCGTGAGCGCGCTCGAGAACGAATGAATGTGTCTGCGACGAGTGTGTTGTCACGAGAGCTGCGATCTTAAAAGAGACTTTGGCATCTTCATATCTATCTATGTGTGTGGTTACGCCTCTCCTCTTCGTCGGCTGAACACTGCGTGGCTGTGACAAAACCCCTACAATCGATCAATAAACAAACACAGGGACCGGCGACAGTGACCATGAAGCGGCTGCACGGCACCGTCGTCACCTTTACCAGTCCAGAGTCCCATCTGGTAAGCTCTAATAAAAAAAAAAGCTCAACAACACACACACACACACGATACACTCCTCAGCTCTCTCGGCAAATTTTTAAGCAAAACAAGAACAATTTATTCGACGCACGAAGCAGCTTTTTTTCTTATATAAATTTACGTAATACGTATATCATGTGCCCGGATTGCCTAGGACACATGTGTACTTATTATGACACACATTTTTTTATCTTTTTACTGTCTCAAATTCGGTCGCTATGATAATTTTTTCGCAGTCACGATTGCCATTAGATTTAGTCGAAATATAGAGGCAAACACAATATAGCGAGATGAGCGCGCGTGCAAATAATATTATATGCCTGACTTTTTATCATATTGAATTGCCGATTTATACATTTTTTTTCTGTTATATAAAAACGTAGAGCACTAACTGTTATACATATTTTTTATTATAAAAAAAATCTTAGCGCCTTGCGAAGTTGGAGATTAGCTCCATAATGCCTCTCGCTCAGTTCTTTCTCTTTACTATTCTTTCTTTGATTCTATAGACATGTGCGATTTCATCCATATGTTTACTTAAAATAAATCACTGTCTCTCGCTCTATCTCTCTCACGGGGCCGTGACGCAATTTAGAGACACGTTTGCATCTAGTTTTTTCCTCACCGGCTGATTTTTACTATATATACATTTGTTTTTATCGTATAAAATATCGACGCATCAACGCACAGAATAATATACATATTATAATAGCGCACAGCTATCACGCGATTGCATAAATTATTTTTCTGATTATCAGTTATGATTTTTTTTGACATATGATAAATACGAGCTTTTTTTAGCGAAGAATTTTTAAGCTGCACAAATATAATATAAATCACCCCGCAACGACGTATTATAAATACATTATGAGTACTCGTCTGTATCTCTCTCTGTGTCAATGTAAATGAGCTCCATTCACACCACTACCTTCACTATAACCACCACTAGCAGCTGTGCAAAACCACATAATATTCACTGCCAAAACCCATTCACTGACCCCCTTGCCCTGCCCTACGCAGCAGCCGCTATATAGTAGTTCACGCAGTCCACAAATATGATGTTCTTCTTGGAGTCCTCCTCTATCTATCTCTTTCTTGCTCTCTCTCTCTTGATCAGTGCATTATTATTCCTTAATCTGTCATTCCTTACTTCAACGCATGAACTCTGCCGCCGCCGCCCGCACACCCAAGCGTGAACATAGTCGCAAGCAGCCGCCAATCGTCCGTTTCTTGTCTATGACACCGCCCCCGCATTAGCGTCCCTCTATCTATACTACCTATATATTATGATCTCGCAGCCACTTTTGTGTCTCTGTATTATACACACGCGATAGCCACTCAGCCTCTATCTCTACTCTCCGCCTCTTTCTTTCTCTCTACCTCTCTCGCTCTTCTGTCATCACCCTAAGTATATATTTAAATACGAGATGTCTTAGACGACACCACGATTGATCACTGAAATGATGTACGTTGTGTACTGTATAAAACCACCATCACTACCACCATCACCATCACTGCACCACTGCAGCAGCAGCACGCATACTCACTCTCTTATATTATAATAATAATATTGTTATTAACTCGACTCACGATCAGCGCCGCGCCGACAGCCGCATATATAGTATTTAAAAGAAAAAACCTCCACCCCCCGGTTTTTTTTAATACCTCATGTTCCGCCATTATACTAATTTTCGCTTCATGCCATTTCGCTTTACTGTAATTTATTATTATATTCGTGCCGGGTTTCGGACGTGTATCGGCAAAGTTAGATTTTACAAAGTTTTCGTTAGCGCGCGAGCGAGCGAGCGGGCGCCTACACACACACGCACACACCTGCGTGATACGTGTGTGTACGTACGTATATATACTTACATGTACATTGCGCGCGCGAGCATACGGTTCAGTCTAACACGCGCTCGTACAAAAGTTTTCTATAATTTCACGTAGTTATTCACGGCTGTTGCGATTCGGTGCACATATAATGGAGTATGTGTACATGCGCCGTCGTGCTGCCGAGTAAATGAAAGAAAAAAATAAAAACTAGTCTTTTTATTCTTTACCTTTTTTTCCACGGCGCCTCGCTGTGTATGTGCACGCGCGCAGCCTTCGGACTGTATATTTACATTGCGTTCGATCGTTTTTTCTACACTTTCGTACGCTCGAGTGTACATATGATCGAAATTCCTCGGCGTTGCTCGTTTATCGAAGGTTTTATTTTTTTATCGCCGCGTCGCGGGCGAACTGCGCAATAACTAAATATCTCGATATGTTGATTCAGACTGTCTATTCGCAGTTCAAAATAGCCCGTCTTGGTATATAAATAAATCGCGTAAATAAGACAAAAATATTATGAGCTATTTTGGACTACGAACAGGACGGTCTCGTGACGATTTTTGAGTCTATCAAAGTATCTATAAATGCACCTGCTTCAATAGACTATATTATCTTTATTACAACCCTGTAGCCCATGCCACAATTGCGAATGCGACTGAAAAACAATTATTTACTCGTGTATATAAATCTTCGCTTTCCAAACTATAGAGGGATATGCCGCAACGATATGTATTCACATGTGTAATGTCGAATGTTGTACATTATCATATCTGCTGCATTTGTGCAGAAAAAAAGAATTACTATTATATATAATATCCTTATATAGATAAGCACACACGCAAATTGCATGTAGAGATTGTGTAATCGTCGTCGTAGTTGTCACTCTATATAAATGCGATAATATAGCAGCCTTCTTGAAAAGGTATGTCGCTGCTGTATATGAGCACACAGTATTATATATTATGAGCAACGTAAATATTGATAACAAGCGCACAAAATCAAAAAATTGCATGGGCAAAACGTGACCTTTGCCATATATTAGTTGATTTAATATTTCACCAATTATATACAATATGCTATTATAACAATAAGAGTATGTAAACTTAATCGATTGAATTGTGGATCACGTGCAAGCTGACATGTACACGAATGTATGTAATGTTCTATATATACTGCGCACAGCTCTACTGTGTATAAAATAGATGAAGCCAAGTTTCGGAGTGTATTTCACACGTCTGGAAGAGACAGAAGTAGGATAGGCCTTTATATACAAGCTGGCAATTCCGCTGAGTTTACAGGACAGGCCTGAAAAGCTCTCTCTCTCTCTCTCTCTCTCTCTCGCTCTTTCTCTCCGAGTTATAAGCTGTGATGTAGCAACAAACGTGGCGAGCGCCGCAACAGAAGCAGCAGCAGCAGTAGCAGTAGCTGCAGCGCAGTGCCCGACTTCCGTCATCGTTATACTACCACCATTACTATATACGAGACGACTGCTTTTGCTGTTGCTGCCGCTAGGAAGCTTTACTTCAATGTCATTCAACGAAAGAAGCGAGACGTATATATACTACGCGCATTCAACCCTTCTCTGTCTTCGTTTGTCCTGGCGCGTGAGTTTCTCTGCTACTCTCGAGCACACGTTAAATGAGCTTTATCAACTGTGACCAACGTTCAGTCTCGCAAGCTTCTCTCTCTCTCACTACGCTCCTTTTGTTGGTTCACATTGCTGATGCGCGGCTCGCTTTAATACGGCGCAAGTGCGCGAGGCAATAGCGCCTGAAATATGGCTGACAGTCGCTCTCGCGCGCGCGGGCGCTCTTCTTCTCTCCTCCTCCTACGCAGCTATACCACCAGCTACCACCAGCGAGAGATATTCCATATTCCCTCGCATTTCGCCAGGCATGAGGCAAGGATTCATCATTTACGTAAGCGGGAGCGAGAAATTCAGACCAGGAGAGAGCGAAAAAAATGCCCCGCCATCCATATCGTAGAGAAAAGTAAAAGAAGTAAAAGAAAGAAGAAGAAGAAGGAGAGAAAAAGAGACGAAAAGCTTCGTGTGTCTATATATTTCACCGATAGTAGTAGCAGTATTATAAGCGTGCCACGAGCCGTATAATGAGCAGCTCGCGTGTCTCAAATATTATAATAGCATGCCTCCTGACGACGACGACGACGACGCGTAAGGCAAAGAAGAAGCGGCAGCAGGTCGAAACTTTGCTACTGCGCCCTGCTATATGGAGATTAATTTGTTGCCGTGTGCAAGAGAAGTAGTAGTAAGAGGAGCAGCAAGAGGAGGAAGAGGAGTAAAAGGAGAGCTGCAACTACTACTGTCTGCAGCCGCCAAGGGATTGAGATTATATACACCGTTCGCCTATCCCTCCGGGGAGCTCGAGAAGCAGCAGCAGCAGCAACGTTTCCAGCTCCTTGTCTTAGAGCTGTATCTTCTTCTTCTCTTCTCCCTCTCTCTCTGTAGGCCAAGAGAGCTCGTACCTCCCGCACACCCCGCCCGCGTAACAGCACACGTGATAAGCCGTCAAGAGCTGCAGCAAGTTCGCAAAACGACGTTAAGCCGATCTGTGCAGTAGCAGCAGCAGTGGCAGCGGCAACAACAGTAGCAGCAGCAGCGTGGGTCAACTTTGATGGGTCTCGCGTTCTCCGCAAAACATGGCAAACAGGAGCAGGAGTAGCAACAGCAGAACGGCAACCCTATATCGTAATGCACCCGGAGTCGCTGTGCTGCAAAATTCCGACCAATTCAACACGCTTGGAAATTGATATACTAACGCAAAAGATTATATACTTGGCTATCGTCCTTTACTGTACATAAAGTATTATAATATATGCAATACCTAGTTTAGTGTGCACTGTTCTTGGCCACAATTGCGTACTGTGCGTGAGTCTGTGCGTGCCTGTGTGGCTGTGTAGATGTTGTACACATAGTCAAAGTGTGTGCTGCAATACAGGCGCCAGCCCCAACGGCAAATTCGATCTTTCTTTTTATTTTATTCGTTTTATTTTTTGGTATGTACGTTATTCCGAGAATTTGCCGTTGGGCGCTGAAAACGCGATTAGCGCCGTAGTAGCTATCCATAGTAAAAAGCTGCCCAGCACGTGTAAGAGCCCTCGGGTCTTGCCTCTCTGTTTCCAGGTGCTGCCTCCGTGGAAGGGTGCCAAGTCCGGCAGTATATCGTTCAAAATACGCACGAACGAGCCTAACGGACTGGTCATGTACAGCCGCAGCGGAGCCATCACTAGGGTACGTAATTCTTATATACGTCGCGAACGAAACGAGCATTCGAATTATTTCCCTATTTTTATTGCCAATTTTCGCGGTATTCCTCGCAGACGGATCTGTTCGCGTTCGAGATCCTCGGGGGCTACCTGTATCTGCACATGGATCTAGGCGAAGGCGCGCTCAAGGTGCGCGCCTCGGAGAAGCGCGTCGACGACGGCACGTGGCACGAAGTGGCGCTCAGGCGGGTCGAGCGCGAGGGCCGAGTCGTCGTCGACGACTCCACCATCGAATTCCGGCCACCGGGTAAGGATGATAACTGCAAGTATCGATTTTTTGATCTATTATTCAACTGTGCACTGACGCTCTTACTACTACTACTTATACCAATTGTTGTTTCGCAGTACTTCTGACATATCAGCAAAACAACCCTTGTGTTGCGACATTGTTTTTTTCTCTTACTTTGTTTGTCTTATACTATTGCTCAATAGATGATCTCATGTGTACCCGAGCGCCCAGTAGTGATGACCTGGAATGAATTGACCTTATACATGGTGTACCTCAAATAAATTATGCAATTTATAGAGAGCATTTAGTTATCTCTGGCTGTTCTCAATCCCAAATAGTCTCATTTAATCTATTCTTTTTTATTTACGTTTTTTCACAAAACACACTTCATAATTCATCGTTCGAAGTCTGGCAAATAACATTTGTATAGTTCGCAATTTTTTTTTTTAATCATGACCGTACGGCGTGCTTTTACATCTGCGCATTGATGTTAGATCAATGCCTCAAATTGCACTTTTGTTATCGCAATTCGATAAAAATAAAAAATAAAATACTTGAAAAAAAGATACAGTTATTTTCTTACTCGGTTTACTATATGTTGAGTTGAGTTTAAAGAAAAATTTGCATCAATTGAAATGCTACTGTGAAGTCGATTCGATGTTGTCTACATAATGTAAAAGGATTAAACGAATGAACTTTAGGATTTACATAGGGAAGGGAAAAGAAGTTTTTTGTGTCAAAGGTCAAAAACTCTGCGCTCTCGTCGTCGTTCTAAAAAAAAAAAACAAATCCACCAAATTCTGTTCAATATTAAAACCGAGCGTTATTGATAAATTATTACAATGAAACATGTGCCGTTGAATATGGACCAATAATAATCTTAACCAATAATTTATACCGTTTTACCGAGCTATCGTCGTCGGTCGTCGTCTCTCCTACGATATACACGTATAATACAGCAGCGTCGAAAATCAATTTTACAATATTGCGCCGTGTACATGCAGCATTATATATCCTGCATCGCATGGGGCGACGAGCTCGCGCTGCAGCGCGCGCGTCGAATCATTGCACTTGCGTCTCGCATATCTAGAACCCATTCATCGTAGTGGAAAGTATATATATCTGCATACAGGCATATAGATATTATAATGCATATATATCTATATGTGTGCACGCTCACAAGACAATACGGGGCCATTGTAATACGCGTCGTTGGTACAGGCGCACGTATACATGCACTCACATGCATATATAAACACGCAGACGAGACGAGTCACGACACACACACACACACACGATCGTGTGTATATGTGTGTGCATATACGTGCGACGCGCACCAACCCTCTATATATACATATACTACTGCAACTGCCACCATGCTGTGTTATGTATACGTTCGAACCAGATATACATTATATCGCCGTGTTGTTACTAGTTATATATATGCCGCCATCTTTGCACGTAGTTATTATTATTAAGAATGAAAAATATATACCGGGGAAATGTTGTCGAGCGTTTAAATAAATAAGTATTTTACATACTTAATTACGATGCTATATGGTATATTATAAATATTTTCTCGCGCGAACATTTTGTTTGAAACTAAATCTTTTATGCAGTTAATTGAAAAATTGTAAATCGAGTTTAGAGCTCCGCAGTTCCATATACATTATTTTGATGTAATGACTATTTGTATATAAATTCGCTCTCACTGCGCGCGTACTTTGTGAAGAAATTAAATCGGCTTTATTAACGTCGTTGCAGCTGTGAAATTGCGCGAAATCGCGTCTAGCGCGTGAGCTTAATTGATTTTCGTCCTCTCTCGCTCTCGCGCGCGCAATGTGTGTGTGTCGAATTAAATGCTGCCGCGCTGCAGACGACCGACCGGGTGTAAACGCGAACGGAAGCGGGTAAAAAAGAAAATTCGAAATAAGGAAAATAAAAAAGTAAATGTCTGACTTGTGTCGCGTCGCCGCCATCGACGACGACGACGTTTGTTTTACTGTTACTGCTTGGAAACAGGTGACGCCACGCAGCTGGACCTCGATGGACTATTGTTTATCGGAGGGGTGGGTGCACCCTTTGCACCGCTCACGGTGCCACCGGTTCTATGGACGGGCAGCCTACGCCAGGGATACGTCGGTTGCATGCGGGACCTCGTCATCAATGGCCAGCCCATCGATATTGCTGGTTACGCTCAGCAGCAGGATTCAGGTATAAGATTCGAGAATTCTCATCTCGAGATGAATTAATTATATAATTTTAAATTTTTATTACATCGATCTGATATAAACGTGCTCGATAATTGAATAATTTTCCCTCTCGACTAAATGAAGTTTTTTTTAGAACATAACTTTGTAATACTGGTTTCAAAAATAAAACGAGAAAGTAATATTTCGCTGAAGTCAAGCTGTTTTCGTTCGATGCTCTTAACATAATTAATATCGGAAAAAATCAGGTCAGCTAATACTTGTATCCATTAGGCGAGAAATAATGCTTCGAAATGAAAAAGTGCAAAAAAATTCGCTGCGGACAGGATTCGAACCTGTGCGGGCAGAGCCCATCAGATTTCGAGTCTGACTCCTTAACCACTCGGACACCGCAGCTGGTTGATAGCGGAGCGCGCTAAACGCCTCGAGTACTCGTGCGAATACGGGAGTCGAGTTCTCGGCGCATGCGTGCGTTATACTCGCCGCATGCCTTACACGCACAAATCGCGATTTCTTTTGTGAGCGCCAGATTTGAAATTGTCGTCATCGGTGTTTCGTGTGGTAATTTTGCAGGTGCCGTCAGGCCAGCCTGTCACGTGCAAGGGCCTCACTGCAATTCCCAGCCTTGCATGCACTCGGGTAAGTGTATCGAGGGCTGGAACAGGTTCCATTGCGATTGCAGCGCAACGGCTTACACCGGGGCTACTTGCGGCAAGGGTACGAGTTTCGGAAACTTTTACACAATGCATTTTTACGCAGAAAATTTAAGCGATGCACAATAATTAACAATTTATGGTGTAATAATTTAGATGCGTCGACGCTGTATCTAAATGGTTCGCAGCAGATGACAGCCCTCATGCCAGAAGACTCGAAAACCCAAGCAGAGGAGCTCGTCATCAGGTTCAAAACGACGAAGCCCCGAGGACTGCTGCTGGCTACGAGCCTAGAAAACAGCGTGGACCGCTTGCAGATATCTTTGGACGAGGGCGCAGCCCGGGCACTGATACATATCGACCATCAAGAAAAGGTTCGTGAATGCACACGTAATATGCAACAGCATATAGGTAGCAGCTGGTGCCAGATGCAGGCTGAGCGCCCGTGTCTGCATGCGGTACTTTGTCGTCCACGAATACGCCCGTAACCGCAATAAAATTTATCAGCTCGGATATATGTCGAATACGCATGATTCGGTCGGGCGGTGCATTTCGTATTCAAATAATATCACATAACACAGATGAGCCCAAAAATACATACATCGTGTATATGCTAATATTGCCCTGCGTGTACACTGCGGGTTTCGATACATCAATATCCCTATACTTTTGTACATCGTTAAATTATATGTATAAACGTATTTAAATAAATATATAAATGCTACGTGCGCACGTGGGTGTGCATTGCAGTTTCCTATATATATGTGTACACGTCGAGCAGTCGTCATTATTGAAGCAAATCAGTTCAAAGCTTGAACCGCGTTCTCCTCGTTGCATCGTATTCTGACCTACATGCAGCACAATATTATTTCGTAAAATATTGCGCGTATGTTTGAACTTTTGAATGCGATTATCCGGTGCGCCCACCGATGCGTTCATTCACGTAGTTGCGCTTGAATTTGTGTAGGGCGTAAAAATCATATATAATGACGCTCTCGAATCGCAATCGAATCGAATCGCAAATTGGTCGTTAAGCGATAAATTCCGCGAAATATGACGTATCGATTAGCGGCTAAATTGATTCGAATAACGATGAACAATTTGCGCGATGTACTCTTTAGCGCGATCAGTAAGAAAATCGGACGATCGAGCCAAACACGATGACGGTACGAAAAATTAGGCCGTTGCTCAATTCCAATCTTCGTACAGTCGAGATAACGCGCGCTCGCCGTGTATATGAAGAGAAATAGTAATATCGTAATCCTAAATCTGAAATGCTGTTAGCGTGTACACCAGCTCATAATTGAACGGAATAATTAATAAGTAAATATGCAATAAGGGCGATTACGATGGCTTATGCAACTGCAGCAGCAGCTTTAGCGCGGGCGTGTATGTGTATAAAAGCTATATATGGATAGTAGCCGCGTTCCTCTTTTTGTACGCTGTATAAACCGATGAGCTTCTCAAATTGATCGTTTTATATAGCATCGCTCCAGCTAAGCTGAAACAAAATTAAAAAAAAATTCGTTATAATTTTTTATCCGATTGCAAAAATACCCTTTTTCTCTATCCCTCTGCTCGTTGTTTTTTAAATGCACGCAAAAGCCCACTCGTGCGATCTGTACGTACAGACACACACTGCCGTTGAGCTTAGCCGAGATGGATAGAAAAAATAAGGCTGTGTACGTGAGAAGCGAACGATTAGTCGCGCGAGACCATAATATTTATCGAGGCTGCACAGCGGCGAAACGGAGGCTTTGGCAGCTCATACTACCGCTGGACTGCTCGCCGCCGCCGCGGCCGCAGGGGACAGATAAGCACTCTATACCAAGTCGATATATGGACTCCGTAAATGACTAATGAAACACGGCACACATCGATACTCTCGCGTGGCTATTTCGCTCCTACTGCTGCTGCTTTATAACAACGAAAGAAAAAAACTATGACTAACGATCGGATCTCGTGTAATGCATCGCACCCTGTTCCCCATAAATTCGAGTTTGTCTTCGAAATCGAACGTGAAATATCACGGATTGATATAGATTAGAATTTCGCGTGCTACTTTTTCACCCAAACCGTATTACAGCGATGCTTAACTTTACATGCCTTATTATTACAGGAGGTAGTAGCCGGACAAGGATTGAACGACGACATGTGGCACACCCTGAAATTTTCTCGTCGAGGCAATTCCGTCAAGTTCCAAATTGACGACGAGGAGCCCGTAAAAGGTGAGCCTTCAACATACATACGTATATATAATCGTCGCGTTCGATAGGGCTGCAGCGCACTAACCACCAAATTTCTATCTCTGAGGAAATTATTAATTTCCGGCAATAAAGACTTTAGCTCATTAGCATGGGCTCGTGACTTCGAGGTAAGAGAGAGAGACACACACACACATACATAGATAGCAAATAGAGAGAGAGACCGAGTGAAAACTTTTTGCTAATTGTTGGTATATACATGGCTAATTGCCAACGCGGGGGCGGGAGAGCGCCGAGAGTTGCACCACTGCACGCGCATTCGCACAAATCACAAAGTCGACGAAAACTATAAAATAGTAAACTGAGCCCAGTGAGTGAAGCGGTTGTTGAAAAAAATGGCTCGCCTCGCCACGGGGGAGCTCAAGCGCGCGTTGAGAGAGGATCGACCGATAATAATTCTCCGCAAATAGGCTATTTACCAACTGCGTCTGTGTATGTGGAAGCAATTAGAACGAGAGCCCATTAACACGAGCTGCTAGGAGAAACTTTCGCAGTGCGAGTAAAATTGACTAGAAAATATATATAGTAGTTGACGCAGCTACATACGCGCGAGCATCCACGGGGGGGCGACAGATGTTGTCAAAAATCGAAACGGATTAAATGAAAAAAATCCAAGCTGCACTAGTCGAAGTTTAATTATATATAGGTATACAGCTTAGATATATAGGAGCGTGTATTAGTGCAGTAGCATCTTATACGAGTGCGATCGAGCAGTCAGTCTCTTATCGCGAAGCTTTTGGCGCTCTCGAGCCCGAGCTCGGGATTAGAGAACGAAAGGCCGAGGAGTGTGCAATGCAGTGTGCAGAGCGCGCTCATTCGCATAAACTACGGCTTCTCTCTTCGTCTCTTCTTATCTATAAAGACTTGCCTCTAGCTTTCGAGGTGTACACTCGTGAAGGAGGGGCAATGAAAAATGCGCCAAAGAGATTTGCAGCTGTGTGTGTGGGTGTGTGTGCGCGCGTCTAAGCGAACTCTCTCGCACTTTGGCGATAAGCGAGACCGTTTTCTTATTAACGACCTTCAATAACAAACTCTCTATTTGAGCGCGAGCGCGCGGAAGTAAGCCTAATCGCGATTTTTCGGTGGGGGTTGGTCCAATCGAAAGTTGCACGCGGCAGTTTGTCTTGCTTTCTTTGAGCTCGCGCGACGTATCGCATGGAAATGTTACAGGCAATGCTCAACGAATCGATACACACAGCAAGTGCATTTCGGGGGAGGCGAGGGGGTGGAAAAAAAGTAATAAATGAACTCGCTTATACGATCGACGTGTACAGCAGCAGCGGCAGCAGTGCAGTTGAAAAAAAAAACGATAAGAGAGCCGATGGCAAACGTCCAGTTTTTTCTTCCTCGACGCTCTTTTCAATTTGCTTTTCTACCTATCTTTCTTACTCTCGTAGCATTGCAAGCTCGCGCGCGCGCGCAGCAGCGGCGTTCTGCATTATATCAAAGCGCAGCTAGAAGATGTTCCTTCGAGACTTTTGCAAAATGAGAAAAGGCTTTCCGATAAATCGCGCACTCGGGCGGTCGCGACGATAGATAAAGCACATCACTCTCCGCGAGTAATAACTTCATCGCTCTTTCATTCGAGTAGGAGGCGAGTCTATAAACGTCCCGTTGACTTTATCGGGAGGAAAATATGCGCCGCGCTGATCTCGAGAGCGCCACTGCAACGAAAATAATATAGATGTATATAATAATTCTTTATTTTTCGCTGCAGCCGAAGCGATGCTGGGCGAGAAGAACACGCTCGAATTCAGGACACTTCACGTCGGCGGTTATCTGCACTCGAGCGAAGAGATACCCCGCTTCGTGGGCCAGCTCCAGCAGCTCTGGTTCAACGGCTATCCGTATCTGGAAATAGCGCGGAGCGCGGGTACGCATCAGACTGCCCATCAGGGTCTCACACCCATCATAAGGATCAATGGGAAGTTCGGCAAACGCAATCATCCCGTCCATCATCCAGTTACTTTTACGTCGAAGCACACGTTCGTCGGACTGCCCATGCTCAAGGCATACGTGGAGACCAACATTTACTTCCAGGTAAAGGCTTTTCGCGGAGAAATATTTTACTATAGAACTAATCTATGTAATACAGTTTTCATTAGCATGTTCGGTATGAAAATTGTGACGTCGATGAAAGTACTCAGTAATATTAAATTCAGTTATATTATTATCATTCAAATTTTAAGAGCACTAGTTCTCTTTTCGTTACGAAGTAAAAATCGATACCGTAATATTGATGGGTGGATTCACCCCGTGTGATAAAAGCAGATAACTTCTTTATCGTTAGAAGATATGTGCCATTTTATACCTGCATTCATAAGCATATAATTTTAATCCTTCCCCCTTTCGAATTACATAATACTTCATTTTTTATGTAAGTGCTCGTAATATTTCAATTTACAGTTTCAATAAGTAAGCAAAAAGCTCAAAATTCAATTTATAAACTATATTTCTACGATGATTGAGCATTTTGTCTGTATGTAATTTTTATTTTCAAAAATTGCGAAAATATCATTATTTCAAATGTTGTTTCAATGTCACTGAAAATATGTTTTTCATTGCAGTTCAAGACTCGTGAAGCAAATGGATTGATACTATATAATTCAGGTCGAGAGCGAGACTTCATTGCCGTTGAACTAGTCAACGGGCACATTCACTACGTCTTTGATCTCGGAGATGGGCCGGTCAGACTGCGGGACAGTACAAAATCACGTCTAAACGATGGCAAATGGCATGCGGTTACCATTGCTCGACCTGCTCCAAAAAGGCATACTCTAGCAGTCGATGATCATGTCGTCGTGGCTAATAGCCCTGGAAGCAATGAAAATCTTGATCTAGATGGAATTCTATTCATCGGTTAGTTTTCTGGTTGCTCGATAAGATTCTAATCTAAATAATTACTGGTATGTGATATTGGAAATGATTTTTCAGGAGGTACGGAAAAAGCCCAATACTCCATTCTTCCAAAGCCAATTCAAAGTCGGCATGGTTTTGAGGGATGCTTGGCTTCTCTGGATCTTAGTGGAGAGAGCCCTGATCTCATATCCGATGCCGTTGTGCCGAGTTCTCTAGTAGAGTCAGGGTGCGATGCATACGCAAATCTACATCCTGGCAAGAAATGCAACCACGACATGTGTGCGAACCATGGAACTTGCGTGCAGCAATGGAACAGTTTTACGTGTGACTGCGATATGACCAGTTTTTCTGGGCCTACTTGTACAGATGGTACTTTAACAAACTTGTTTCATGTTAATTATACACACTCATTTATTTTCTTTTTGACATTTCATATTTCTTAATTTATAGAATCGCCTTCGTATGAATTTGGGGCTGGTCGAGGAGTCATCACGTACACTTTCCCACCCGATCGTAGACCAGAAATGAAGAGAGATACTTTGGCAATGGGATTTATCACTTCAGTCAACGATGCCATACTTTTGCGAATTGAATCGGCATCGAGCAACGATTACCTCGAGATTGAAATCGTACGATTAATCCACTCATTTGATGCAATATCTTCGCAGTATGTTTCACTCGGCGTTTATTTTATGATCGTAGGTGGAAGGAAATGTTTTCGCCGTTTACAACATGGGTACGAGTGATCACCCCATCGGTGAGGTCGGCGTCAAGGTTAACGATAATCAGTATCACGTGCTGAGATTCACGCGAAGCGGAGCCAACAGTACTCTTCAAATAGACGACTACAATCTTCAATCCAACCACCCACAAGGTAAGTGAGACTTTTGTACACGTGCGATGTGATGCAGCAGCACCTCTCGCACTGATCCAAGTACAAACGTCGACTGAACATTCCTAGCGTTGTCCGATCAGTTTTATACTCGCGCGCCGCTTGCCTTCGTGCAGCGAGAGTGTAGCGTGTGAACCAGCGCAACTAGATGTTTCGCAGCATATACATTGCCTTTACAACCACAGTCGAGCGCCTTCCCTGGCGCAGAAGCTTATTCAAAATTCGTGGGAACACGATGGCTTCGAAAGAATACAAAAATCGGATAGCATAGCAAATACACGAAATCATCGTGAGAGCCTTTTTTTAAATACGTTCTCAATATTTACTATATTCGGAATGTTATTACTATATCTCGTGTGAAACATTTATTGTCCATCAAAAATCAGCAGCACTACTGTCGTATTTTTACGCATAAATCCGAAATTTCCAATTCAAATCGTGTCTTCTCGCTAATCCCTGAGAATGATCGTATTCTGACTAGATCATATTTTTTCAATCTGAATTTTAGGTCTTGTACTACTTTTAAGTTAACATTACTCCTATATTATTCTATTTTAAAATGATCTGTAAAATCTGGTTTATTTAAAAAAATGTAGTTCGTAATAAGTTGGCTCATTTTTATCATTCAAAATTTTAATTAATTTCTTATTATGAAAAAAAATAATTTATTTGGAAAAAATTCAAAACATTAGTCAAACTGACACCTGTGTATCAAAACTGATAGTATCAACAGACAAAATTGATCGTAATTTAATTCGTATCTCCCACTCGCATTCCTCCATCCCACACAGTAGCTCGCGACCACATTGATGCCAATAGTTGACAGATTTATCGTTCTTGCGGTTTCTCCACCAGGAGAGCAGGCACAACGAGTTGGTATTTCGAATTTGACGGAAGTACAAAAATTTTTCATGCGTGTAGGCGTCGCGCGAGAGGGGATATAGCCGTAAACCGCGCTCTCACTTGCACGTCGCCTTGTGTATCATTATTTTTCATAGCGCACATATGTTGCCTTTTAAGTAGACGTTATAAAAATTTAATGGCGCAATTGCATGAACGATAAATATTGTATTTATACTTTATACATAAAAAATTGTTGACCTTTTGAAAGTAAAATTTAAAAATTGTTTCAACTTACTCGTCAAACAATATCGAGAGGGTATCGATAAAACATTATTCGTAACTTTTGACGTAATGTCATATTTCTTTTAGAAACTAGAGTTGCGTCTTTCGAAGTGAAGTTTTGTTTCTTTGAATGAGTGAAGTAAAGCATTTACTTAGCGTCAATATGTTTTCCTTATGTATTGAAGTCTTTGAGAGTTTCCTAAAGTAAAACTTGCAATGTATTTTCGGAAAATATCGGATGCAATTTCTCTATTCATGATGGATACGGAATCTTTGAATAATGATTGGAAATTGAATATAAACTGGCAAGATCTTATGAATACATTATTTTCAAGAATCAATTGATATCCAGCTATCCATTGTTAAAAATTGTTGCATTTTTTATAAAAAAAAACTAACTTAAAATCCACCAGGCAGGCTTGCTTTTCACGAACCTGCTGCATTAAATGTTTCATATTTTAGTGGAAGACATCTCCGATTCTATACACAGGATGTTCGATTTCTTTTTGAATAGAAGTGCGTATATGGGAGGGGGCGTAACACAAAAATTCCTTTTTAGAAAAAAGAACCTCCTCTCAATTTCTAAAATCCTAGCTCAAAATCTTGCCTTAATTGGTCGATCTCTTTCATTCGAACTACAATCGGCTTACGATGCGGGAGACCATATTTCAAAGTCTCTTATTAACACTTCACCGCTTTTCTCAAGTGTGTATAGTGTGTATATAAGAAACATGACATTGAGAAGATTAGTCATCGCTCAAGAAAGTATGCGTATATATAATACACATGCTTATGTCTGTGTTTTTTTTCGTTTCTTCGACATTATGTTCTCCTATTCGAAAAACGCGTTGCACAATTTTTAAGATCGAGTTCTTGGAGTTTGATGAATGTCAAATACGATTGAACTGCTCCATCTTGCAACTTGCAATTTCTTTGATTTCAACGGTCGTCGGAGATTTTTTTTCACGATTTCTTACATTTATGTTTCCCTGTTCAAAATGGGACAAAAATGATGTAACGTTCTTTAAACCTCTACATATTAATATATATCACATCCCAATAAAAATTCTGTAAATACATATTTTGAAGGTCATGATGCAAATGCATATCACTTTGTTCCTAAGTTCCTTAAACATCATGTTTTCCTATTGCTGTACCGGTTAGGGGACTTTTAAAAATAGGCTTTAAGCTCGTCGAATTTTCAAGGTTGTTGATTTGACAAATCGTTATAAAAGCTGTAAACTCAAATGAAAGATTTTGAACAACGAATATGGTGTCGGTATGTATCGAAGCTTCCTTACCGACTTATGAAAACTATACCTTTTATTAATATTACATTTCACTTAAAATTCTATAGAAGTAATAAGAATTTTATTAAATGTATACTTAAATTTTTATCTTTCTCATCTTTACGTTCGTCGCAATTTTCACCAGCGAGAATCGTTATAAAATATATGGTGGTTGTCTTTATTTTTGGTTGTAGACTTGACGCATTTATAAATTATTGATGCTCACGAGCAAAGCAAGTGATCCCTGTTGGGAAAAGGGTCCTGAATCAATAAAATTTATAAAAAATAAATAAGTGGAAAAAACTGTTCCTTCTTTGAATAAATTGCTGGGGAACTGAACTTAGTAGCTATCTTTTGATTTTCGTAATTCTACAAGTACAAAGATAAAATTACGACCCCAAATGTTGTCATATTGGTTTCATATTTTGCAAAACTATTAATATATTCTTCATTTTTAAATGAATAGGAGTATTAAAAGTATTTAAACCACCCACACAAATTTACAACGCCAGGTGGTTAATTTGACTCTGGTAGAATTTGTAGAAATCTGGTAGAAGTGGTAGAATTTGAGTCTGTTTTAATATTGTTTGGAATCACACTCTCTATAGATTCAATTTCCGTAAGAGTTGTTTTGAATAGCCTCCAGGACACCTTGAACCAAACCTATATCGTTTTTTAGTGAAACGTAATTATCACATATTCACTTCAAATCTTTCTATATTCCATCAGCACTATTTTTACCGAGCCCCTATTTGAAAAATTTTACGAAGTCTACTCGATATTTAATTTTTCGCGCTAGCGCTCAAACAAATAAAAATTTGGCTTCTCACATGAACTGCTTTCAAATATGGTAAATTATTTTGAATAAAATTTGGCTGTTGCATCATGGTTCGAACTTTTTACCTTTCTTCTTACAAGTACATATGATTTGGTATTCATTTTAATAATCAATTATAATAATGAATAGCTATCTAGGGATATAAATTAGAAAAAATGATTAGTATTGCTTATACTCTTAGTGCAGCAGACGACATTGTACCAAATGTTTATTGCAGACCTACTTCAAACTTGATTAATGTGATGGAGCTAAATATTAGAAGATTTAATAATCATTTCACTACATCAGTTTTACTCTTCAAACTGATAATATGGATACTCGATCAAATATACCTATTCAAAAGTAGACTGTCAAAATATTTATACACTTCAATTGAAGTCTAATTGTGTCTGATGATATACTACAATGTAATCTACTTTGTAAATTGTTAATTACTTCAAAATTAATCGAAAACAACAAGTTACTCCAACCTTTGTTATACAAGTATCAATACAAATTGAAAGTGGTTAATACACAAGCTATAGCTCCGTAACTCGCACTGCAGCAGTCGCAAGTGTACAAGACTGTTTACAAAGTGAAGGGGACAGACGAGGCGCAACGGGCCCCGAGAGCGGCGGCTACCCATGGAAGGGGTTATACGAGCTCTTCGATTACCTGGGTACATACTAGCGCTTGTACACAGGCAATTGTTATTACACTCGTGCCGTAGCAGGTACATGAAACGCACACACTTACGCGGACACGAGCTCTCGTGTGCGGAGAAGGGAAAGTCAGGCCGCTACACCGCTGCAGCAAGCGGTGCATAATGAAGAGAAATGAAAGACACAACGATTGTTCGGGGGGAAAAAGGGAGAAGGGGATAGCTCTTCAGCGGCAGCAGCAGCAGCATCACGCACAGCTGTGTGTGCTGGGCCCAGGAAAGGTTAGCCTCCTCTGCAGGCTTGGGATCCTGGCATTCGTAGGGGATTTCTCGATCTTCTCCTACGTAATCCCATAACAACCTGTGGCTTTTCTAGTCTACATTCTTTTCTAGCTGGAATGTGTGTGTGTAAACATATCGCGAGGCCCGATCCTTCTCTGCGACTTTTCTCCCACCATTACACGCATTACCAGCATTGCTCTGCGACAACAACAGCGGCAGCAACAGCGGCACAAGGCCGTACAGGTATAATGTGTACACTGGTAAACGCAGTACGCAGGTTTCATACGCTGCATGAACACCGCTGCTGCTCTCGGTACATTATATATACTCGCATGTGTGACGATATCGATGCGCTTGGAAAAACGGAGGCTTCGCATGCTCGTCTCTTTGTATAGAGCCATATATGGTACGAGAGACTAGTTGATTGCAGGTGTAGAAGCTGTAATTATTTTCCATCTTAGCTGGAAATACATCATTGCTGTTCAGTATCTTTCGTTATCACGCATTTTGATCGGAAAGTACCAGCATATCGAAGTCTATGACTGCGCATCCGAGTCGGACATCGGTATATTTGTATAATATATAAGCTCTCTAAGAATCGAAGTCAACGCCCTTCGCACTCAATGATATTCATACTTTATAAAACCACCCCTGGGTGGGGTAAGATAATAGAAAGCGGCACACGCGGGGCTGTATACATAGAGAGGCGGTCGAGCGGATAGTTGCGCATCGGTCGCGCGGGTGTCCCGTAGTACTGTACAGCAGCCCCTCGAGAGCCGGAGATCCACCACGTTCGTATAAAAGCCAC